ACGATCTATTTAGTTTTCTTTGATACAATTGACGAAGATGAACTACAAATTATCAAGGGAAGAACCATACATTCTTTAATTATCTCTTACTAATGGTTTCTGTCTTCTTCTAGCGTATGATATCTTGTATGAAGTTCCAAATATGGAACAAAATCATGGAAAATTCAAGACAACAAAGATATAGTTGAAGTCTTAGGAAGTTTCTTTGGTTTTAGTCCATATCTATGGAGATTTATTCGATAGAATTTATGTATAATTATTAAACTTAGATATTTTTTTTTGAATCAAACGATATTTTCAAAAGATGTCGCATAAAATCACTAACATAGTAACCATTTTTATTTGTAACGAATCAGTCGTAAAGATGATGTCACTCAAAAACATCAAAGCAAAGCAAACCGTCACCAAAAACTTGCACCACTTTCCGTCGTACATCGTCATGAATATTTTCATCATTTTTTTCTAACTTCCTTCCATTCTCGATTATTCTAGAACATTCTAGATAATACCAGAAAATCTCGTGTAACATTATAAAAGACGTACGTGAGACCATTTTTCTTCATCTCAACAATTATTCAAACTTAGTTAAATTTTTATTAGACAAAAATGGCTACAGCTATTGGTATTGATTTAGGTACAACCTATTCAGTAAGTTCTTCTATTTATTTTTGTTTATATATTAAAATTATTTGTTGTTTTTCTAGTGTGTTGGTATTTTTCAACATGGAAAAGTAGAAATTATTGCAAACGATCAAGGAAATCGAACAACACCATCATATGTTGCATTTACTGATAGTGAACGATTAATTGGTGATGCTGCTAAAAATCAAGGAGCAATTAATCCAAATAATACAATATTTGATGCAAAACGACTTATTGGTCGTAAATTTGATGATGCCACTGTACAATCCGATATGAAACATTGGCCATTTAAAGTTATTAACGATAATAGTAAACCAAGAATTCAAGTTGAATATAAAAATGAAACAAAATCATTTACACCTGAGGAAATCTCATCAATGGTATTAATAAAAATGAAAGAAACAGCTGAAGCTTATCTTGGTAAAAAAATTTCAAAAGCTGTTGTTACCGTTCCAGCTTATTTTAATGATGCTCAAAGAAAAGCAACAAAAGATGCTGGTATGATTGCTGGTCTTGATGTTCTACGTATTATTAATGAACCAACAGCAGCAGCCATTGCTTATGGTTTAGATAAACAAATTCAAACAGAGAAAAATGTTCTTATATTTGATTTGGGTGGTGGTACATTTGATGTGTCCGTATTAGTTATTGATCAAGGTATATTTGAGGTTAAATCAACAGCTGGTGATACACATTTAGGTGGTGAAGATTTTGATAATCGAATGGTTACACATTTTGTTGAAGAATTTAAACGAAAAGCTGGTAAAGATATATCAAAAAATAATCGTGCACTTCGTCGATTACGTACTGCATGTGAACGAGCAAAAGTAAGTTTAAATTTCATTTGATTTATTTTGTATTTTTTACTTTCTTTTATTAGCGTACATTATCAACACAATCACAAGCATCAATTGAAATTGATTCTCTTCATGAAGGTGTTGATTTTAATTCATCAATCACACGTGCTCGATTTGAAGAATTATGTAGTGATCTTTTTCGTTCAACCCTTGAACCAGTTGAAAAAGCTTTACGTGACGCTAAAATGGATAAATCAAGTATTCATGAAATTGTACTTGTTGGTGGTTCAATTCGTATTCCAAAAATACAAAAATTACTTCAAGATTTCTTCAATGGAAAAGAATTAAATCGATCAATTAATCCTGATGAAGCTGTTGCTTATGGTGCTGCTGTTCAAGCAGCTATTTTAACCGGTGATAAATCCGATGAAGTTAAAGATGTACTTTTACTTGATGTTGCACCGCTTTCATTGGGTATTGAAACAGCTGGTGGTGTCATGACAGCTTTAATTAAACGTAATACAACTGTACCAACAAAACAAACACAAACATTTACAACCTATTCGGATAATCAACCCGGTGTTGATATTAAAGTCTATGAAGGTGAACGTTCAATGACACGAGATAATCATTTATTAGGTAATTTTGAACTTTCTGGTATTCCACCCGCTCCACGTGGTGTACCACAAATTGAAGTTACATTTGATGTTGATGCTAATGGTATCTTAAATGTATCTGCTATTGAGAAATCAAGTGGACGAGAAAAGAAAATAACAATTAGTAATAAAGAACGATTATCAAATACTGATATCGAAAAAATGATTGCTGATGCTGAAAAATTTAAACAAGAAGATGAAAAACAACGTGAACGTATAACAGCAAGAAATTCACTTGAATCCTATTGTTTTAATATCAAAACAAGTGTTAATGATGAACAAATTTCATCAAAATTATCAGCTGATGATAAAACAAAATTAAATGACATAACTCAATCAGCAATTCAATGGATGGATTCAAATCAATTAGCTGAAAAAGATGAATACGAACATAAACTTAAAGAAGTCGAACAAGTTTGTTCACCAATCATGACTAAACTTCATTGTAAGTTATTTACTTTTGATTAAACAAATATTTAAATTAATTGCTTCTTTTCTATTATTTTAGCAGGTCAGAGTGGTGGTATGCCAAATGGTAATACTCAGTCAAACTCAAATAGTAAAGGACCAACTATCGAAGAAGTTGATTAAGAAATGATATTAGTTCAATTTTTGATTTCGTTTTATTTATTTTTTTAAATGAATAATGAAAAAAAAAATATTTTTTACAAGAAAATAAAATATTTTTGAATTACGAAGATTAATATCTGTTTTATTGATAAAGCAAAAAAGTCTAACGGAGAGCCACTTTTATTTTCTTAACACTGCAATCATATTCGATAGAGAATTTTTCTTATGGGTACAAGACTGGTTGTTACTCAGTTGTGCAAATACGATCTCCTATTATTTTTTTGCAGATATCTAACGATTTGTGTATGCAAAATGTTTACGATCAGTAAAGACAGAATTCGGTGGTCTATGCTTTATAGCTTCGGGTGTTATTATTCAGAATGAATTTCTATAAGATGCATACTCAACAGTTAGAAGTGCTCGGATGAAGAATTTAATGCTAAACAAAGTGATATAACCTTTAAATTGAATGACGAAAGTATTTCTACCAAGAGGCAAGAGCGGAATCCGGATTCCCGATTCCGCTCTTTCTCCCTTGATTTCTACTCGAAAAATAGACAGATGTAGAATTTTACAGAGTATATCTCAAATCGCGATTCATTAGAAATATCAATTCCATAGTTTTGTAGTGCGAAAAATTCCCTATCGAATGTGCATTGAATAGAGTCTTTGATCTTTAAAAAAAAATACCCAGTTTTTTTTGACTGTAGAATAAAAAATGTTTATCATGCGGAATATATCGATTATGAAAACTTTTATTCGTCGTCGTCATATTTATATTGATCATTATGATCTGTCTTCTACGGGAATATCTTTAAATGAATATCATCAACGACGTCATTCATTAATTAATCTTATTCGAAATTATATAAAAACTGAACAAAAACAATCTTCATATAATTTTACAATATGTCTTCCTTCATCTACACGTTTATTTATGGGTCCTGATGTTGCCTATTTTCCATTTAAACAACAATCAGATTTTTATTATTTAACTGGTTGTATGCAACCTGATGCTCTATTATTGCTCAATGGTAATGATGAAACATTTTCTACGAATTTATTTCTCTCATCATGCCCAATGAATTCTATTAATGATTATGAACGATGGTATGGCCCAACAATAACTGATAAAGATAAAATTTGTCAAATCTTTGGAATAGATTCTGTCCATTCAATAGATAAATTAAATTCATTTAAAATTCCATCATCATCTATATTATTTTATAATTCACAAATAACAGATGATACAAGTACAAATAAAAAGAATTTAATACCATTTCTTAAAAATTTTTCATCTTCTATTGTTTGTAATCAATTAAATCATTTTCTTCATTCATTACGTTCAATAAAATCCTTAACCGAACAAAATCTTATACGTCATGCATGTCAATTAGTTTCAAAAGCATTTATCAAAACAATAAAAAATTGTAAAAAAAATATTCAAAATGAATATTTAATTCATGCTCGATTTCAATATGAATGTACAAAACTTGAAAATACTTCAATGGCATTCTATCCAGTTGTTGCTGCTAATGGAAGGTAGGATTTATATATATATATAATATCATCATTATCCTTCTTTTTATTTAGATCAAATATACTTCATTATCAAAATAATAATCAACCGATTAATTCAGATGATTTAATTATGTTAGATGGTGGTTGTTTATATAAACAATATGCAAGTGATGTAACACGATTTTGGCCAATAAATGGTTATTTAAATAATATTTTTTGGGAAATTTCTTTTGAATATTTTTATTTTTTTTAAGGTCGATTTTCATCATCACAACAACAACTTTATGAAATCTTATTAACTGTACAAAAAGATTTAATTAAATATTTAAATTCTGGTGATAAATTTATAACAAGAGGAAAATTAAATATATTAACAGATCAATATATGATTAAATATTTACGTGAAGAATTTATTCTTTCACGAACAATTGATGATGATCATGCTAAGCGAATTATTAATTATTTATGTCCAACAAGTGTTAGTCATCATCTTGGTAAATAAAGATCGTTTTCTTCACACATTGAAAGAATCATTTTTTGTTTTTTTTTCATCAGGCTTAGATGTACATGATTGTGAATCAATATCGTTTTCTGAGAAACTCGAATCAGGAAATGTAATTACTATAGAACCTGGTAAAGATCGATATTTTTTTGTAAAAATATGTATATAATATTATCTGTCTAGGTCTTTATATTCCCTTGGATTGTACAGATGTTCCATCGATATATCGTGGTTTTGCAACACGATTAGAAGATGATGTTCTATTAACAGATCAAGGTTGTGAAGTTTTAACATCTATGTGTCCGAAAGAAATTAATGATTTATATCGATTACTCGATGAAAGAGATAATTCCGATATAGATTAATTCTATTTTTTTGTTATTATTGATTTAAATGTAATACACTAGGAAAAATCATATTATTAAAAACAAAATTGACTTCCTGTCTCTTCGTCAATAAAACATTTGTCATTAGAAAAGATGTAGGTAAAATTCGTGAATCGCGAAAATTTAGGTGATATTCATCTATCATATCGATGTTGATACACTTTATTATTATTTTCACTTCAACTACAAATAAACTAGTTTTTCAATAATTTTAATGAAGCATATTTCAACGTCTAAAAAATATTTTTAATAAGTAAAACTATATTCTTTAATGAACATATAAAAAAAAAGTCTGGTGCTGTTGCGAGCGAAAAGAAGAATAAAGTTTTAAAAAAAAGGTAACATTATGTCTCATATTGAAAGTAAACATATTGTTTTATCACAAATTATGTTTTACAACCATTATGGAATGTAATGTGTTTGTATTGTATTGTTTATTATTTTTTGGTCTTCTTAGCTGCTGGTGGTATACGTGCAACAACTTTAAGTTCACGATATTGCATCTAAATATAGATAAGAATGATTTTTTTTACTGTTATTTATAATAAAAAATACTAACTAATTCAGGATCCGAAGGTAATCTTGATATAAAATCAGCTGCTTCATTATTATCAATGAAACCTTTCGGTTTACGGAAATATTTTGTAAATTTGTTAATAAAAAATGCAAGAATTAAAGCGCGAAGTGGAACATAATAAAGTAGAACCGAAACAAGAACAAGAGTAATCATAAGAAGATTAGATAGCCAAGGAATAGTAAAATTAAATACACTATAAGAAAATAATTTTTTTTTTAGATATAAATGTAATAAAATTTTCTCTATTACTTTTTAAGTCGTTCTAATGTTGAAGCAACACCATCAATAGTACCTTGTAATTCCTTAATTGTATCCTGAATACCTGCTATAGCGCCCAAAAATGATTTCTTAGGTTCCTAAAAAAATAAAAATAATTAAGTATTTATATTTTCTTATTAATTTACCTTAGAATTAGGATCAACTTCTGCTACTTCATCGTCTTCTGGAGATGGTTGTACAAGAGTCGGTAGTAATTCATCGCCAGTACCTGTAAAAGCAGTTCCAAGACGACCACTTTGATATTCGTTAATTAAATTTCGTACAAAAATTAACAAAAGTGAACAAGGTGCCATCCATAATTCAAAATTCCAAACCATAGTAAGTACTGCCTAAAAATGAAATATTTATTAATATAATATTTTAATCGTTTTAGTTCTTTTTTTTACCATAAAAGTACCGAAACTTAAATATGGATTTTCCCAATGAAAAGTATGATCGATGAATTTCATAACATTAATGAAACCTGACATCATATTTGTAATACGTGCTATACTTTGTTTAATAGCCTGAAAATACATAAATATTAGAAGACGAAAAAAAATAGATTTTGTTTTATAATTCTATATACATACACCAATACTAAATTTTTCATCTATTTGATAATATGCAGTTTGTCTTGGATTAATTGTTCGAATAACTGCTTTAAGCTAAAATTTGTAAATCATATAATCAATAGAAATTTGACTTAGTAAAGAAATTCAATATTTACTTGTGTATAAACAAATGTTGCTTCAATTTCAATAGCGCCTTTAACAGGTAAAAGACATTTTTGATCTTTTAATTGATACCATTTCTTTACACCATTTTTTATCTTAGAAAAATTTATAAAATAAATATATATATATATATATGTATGTATTTAGAGAAAGAGAGAAAACAATCTTACAGCTAATAATGGTATTGCAACTTTACCAATAAATTCCGTACTTTTATTTGTATCTTCATCAAAAATAGTTAATTCAACTACAGAATGTATATCTTGCGCTGGTATAACAAATGATTTACTCCAAACAGGATCCAATGTTTTATAAATAGTATGTGTACGTAAACGAGTTGAATCAAGTTCAACAATACAAAATGGATCCGATTTACCAGTAAGATCTTTTGAACTAAGATCACGAGCTTGATAAACTATTTAAACAAAAAAAAGAATAAGTAATTTGAAATAAAAGAAAAATTAATTATCTACTTTTGATTTCAAGCTTGCCAATATCAGTTATTGGATTCATTGATTTAAGTGTATTCAAAAAAGTCTAAACAAAAATTTTTATGAAATATTATTCAAAGAAAAAAATATTACGAACATAATGATTTATATCTTTTTCGGTTAATTTTGATGGCATTGATTCAAGTGCAACATTAGTTGAACTATCACCATCACTTGTAGCTTCTTGTAATGCTGTTGTTTGTGTAATTGTCACGAATAATTCAATTACACCAGCATCATCTTCTAAATCAACGGGTATTCGATGTGTTCTTTCTTCGTCCAAATGAGCAATATTACAAAGTCCACTAGAATAAAAAGTATTAAAATATATATTTAACGATTAAATTCAATTTATTTACCGGCCAACTAATTGTTCGGAACCACCAGTTTCATCGAAAACTATTAATTCTATTGGATGAAGATCACCAGCAAATGTATCATACATAAATGATTGATGCCATTGAGGATTAAGAGTTGATTTTATTGTCTAAAGAATGAAGTAATAAGTCATAAAAAACGATTCGTCATACAATTTTCTTTCTGTATGTTACACATTGTTTATCTGTATATATGACTTACCGCACTGCGATTTTTTTTGTTTCCAAATTTAATTTTAACATAAGGACTACATGGTTTATTAACGCCATTTGGTTTTAATTTTCGTCCTTCAACTATGAAAACATCAATTGTACGTCGAGGTAATATAACACCAGCATTTGTTGATCGACCACCAAATAAAGATTTCGTTTGCGACTGTTTTGCTAAACTACGAAGAACCTATAAATAAAAAAATCAAATAAATTTGTTTTTATCAAAAAGAAAGTAAGAATTTTTCGTCATACTTCATCACGAAATTCAACTGTTTTCGGTGTTATTGTAACACTAATTTTGAGTATTCCATTTTTTCCATCATTTCTTTCTTCATTTTCTAATTCAAGTGATGCATTATATAATCTTTCAAATGGTAGTTTCCATAAATCCATTTTTACTGAACCCATTGATTCATCTCGTCCAATACGATCTTGATCATATAGTTGAAAATAAAGTGGAACTGTTAAATCTTCTGTAAATATGGTAAATTTTTCATTCCATACAGGATTTAAACTTTTTGTAACAGTATTTGTTGTATATTTTTCTTCAGTACCATAAACTACTTTAACATAGGGATCACTTGAACCACCAATATCTTTAACAGCTAAATTATTTCCTCGTTCAATACAAATTTCAGTCCAATAAACTTGATCAGGATTATTTATTGGTGTTGGTGGTGGTGAATTAGAAAACATTGATGTTGCTTTTGGCATGACGGATTTTGCACGTTCAGTTAATGAATCTTTAAATTTATTTAAATCTATTCGATTCGGACTTGCTGTTCGGTCAGCTTGCTTAGCTTGTTCAACTGCCTTCAATTGCTTAGCTTGTTCAGTTGGCTTAACTTGCTTAGCTTGATCAGCTGGCTTGGCTGGTTCAGTTGGTTTAGGTTGTTCAGCTGGCTTGGCTTGTTCAGCTAGTTTAGGTTGTTCAACTGGCTTGGCTTGTTCAGCTGATTTAGGTAGTTCAATTGGCTTAACTTGTTCAACGTGTTTAGCTTGTGCAGCTGGCTTAGTTTCTTTTTCTTCAACTGTCATATCTAAGGAGCCATTTAATACCATCGTCTTTATATTACCATTTGAAACCTGTGTTATTATTTGGGCATCCGATTCTGATGAAGTCCCATTAGTTTCAGCAGCCGATATATTATGGGTACTTTCACCTGTAGACGATAGTTGAGTCTCCTATACAGAAAAAAAAAGAAAAATGCTCGATATATTGAAATATTTATTGAAACAGTCACCTTAATGCAAGAACAGAACAATTTCATAATTACGAAAATATTATGATTATTAGGATAATTCATAATTTAAAAACAAAATTAGTTTATTATAATTAATATACATAATTTAGTTTTACTAGAAGGTAATTTTCTTCTATGCAATTTGATTTCTACTCAATTGGTAATATAAATGTTTAGATTAGTTTAAAATGCGCATATTGAAAATGCAACAGATGATTATTTACAAGAAAAAAAGAAATCTATTTTTATCAAATATATAGCATATCAGAGAAGAATGAAAATATAAAAGAAAATATCATTATCATCATCATATTTTCCATTTTACACAGATGTTATTTTCTATTCAATTCTATTATATTATTTAATAGCCTAATGTCATTTTCACTGGTAGGAAAATTAATGTGTGTAAGTTAAATCTTACATTATCTATATGATTATATATTTTCTTATTATTCTAAAATTTCTAATAATTTTTTGTCGTAAAAATCAATACTTACGTTATTGTCCATATCTAATATATTCTGTATTTATTTCGTTTTAACCTCTAGCGACTGCACACGAGCATTACAACGTAAATATAATAAATATATGAAACAAAATCGATCAAGCGAATCTTTATTTACCATGATTATATGCAATTATACTTTTGACAAAAAAACAAGTTGCATAGTTTTGAGGTTTACTTGTTTTGTGTTAAGTTAGTCGTGCGAAAAGCAATTCGTATTGATACAAATATATATATAAAAATCGATGTATACGCAATCGATTTTTCTCAATGACAATAAACATAATAAATCCTTATAATATGATCAAGTATTAGTACATTATGTTTTAACAAACAACTAATTTTTATTCTTTTCTTTTTGAAGGTTAAAATGACTTACTGAAAAAAAACTAATCGATCGTTTTGATCGAAAATTATTATTGTTATCATCATCATTCCAATTTGATGGTGTAGTTAAACGATATTTACGAGTTCCAATAATATGTGATTTAACTTGACTGAGTAAAGATAAACGATGCGAAAATGCAACTTGTGGTTTTTTTGTAGACTGGTTTGATACACGTTTTTTTATATTATCAATATTTTCAAATGATTGATGTTTCGAATGAGTTAATGAAATAGATGAAGATTCATCAGTTGTTGATGTCGTTGTTGTTGCTGCACGAAATCGAGATGAACTTTTACCACGTAATCTAGTACGAACTTGACGTAATAATGAATGTGATCGACTATTATTATGTGCAGATCTACATTCAGAATCTGTACTTTCACCAGACATATTGTATGAAAATAATATTGGCTAAAAAATAATAATTTATTCAATAATTTTAAAATATAGGAGTTTTTGAATAAATAGTTATAGAAGAGGAAAAATACGTTACTCTTTTTTATTAATTCTAATACGACTCATGTTTCGTGAATACATTCTAATATGTTTTGGGAGAAAACGCAAAATTATCTCGATTTCTTATTGGTAAAAAAAATTTTTATTTCTATACTTCATTACTAACATTAAATGAACATTTAAATATAATAAAACTAAAATTTACCTTTAAAATAGTAAATGACAATCAAAAGAATTGTACTAATAATGTACATGCAATCGGTGCATGTTCATCGCTAGTATATGTATGTATATATACTCGTTATCTTATATAATCATTGCTCATTAAATAAAACTTTTACTTCTAGTATTAATATAGAATGAGCAACAATTTTGTATCGTAACTATTTATTTTTATCATTAGTGTCTTTTACTGATGTCACATATTTGAATTACAAATCAATATTGATTTGTTGAAAGAACAACCTTTATCTTTTTCTTAAGTAAAGAATGAAGTAGTCGCCTTATACTATGTAATTCAATTGTGATCTCGAAAAAGCAACAGAATAACGACGAATTGAAAAGATTAACTTAATTCAAAATGATTATGTCAATTGAAAATGTTTTATTTTTGATTTTATATACATCTCAAATAATGACATTCGATTCTTGTTTTTGATTATATATTCAAATGTCATATACTCACTTTTATCATAATCTTTATTTGTAATGTTTTTTGAGTCAAAAGAAAAATGCCAAAAAATTATTATCAATCGATATATAAATTAAAATCTTTGATTAATAAAGTATTCGTTGGTATATAAAACATGTTCTGGTATCGATGTGCTGTTATTCTATAAAGAAGAACTGGAAAATGCAAGAAAACAAGAAGTTTCATATTAGTATATAACGATATGTTTTTTTGATCATAATATAAAGATAACTCATTTCTTTTCTTGTTCTTCTGTTCTGTTTTTCTCATCTGAAGAACAAATATAATAATAACATCGGCAATAAAGCAAAAAATACGACATATATTGATATTTATCGACGACAAAATCTGTAAAGCATATTGTTTAGTTAATTGTCACGCGTCGATCAATAATAACTTAACACACACGGAAATAAATAAATAAACAGAGAGCAAGATAAATCACGTGTTAGCAGCGTGTCCGCTTACTGCAGATTATTCATCAAAATATCGTAAATCATATGTTTTTCTTCGTTTTCTTGACTAACATCTGTATGTTTTTGAAAGATTTTATAAACATACATAATAATAACAAAAGAAGAAGAGTTAAATTAATTCTATGTACAATTCAATTTCTACTGACTTCTATTCTTTGTAGTCTATCTAAATAATTGTCATTATCATCCGAACGAATATATTTAACATGATCAACTATTACTTAATTAAATATTATGTCATATTATATTTTCTAAGTTCGATTTAAATATGAAAATAAAACTAAAAAAAACATCTCGTGAACAACTATTTATGAAAATAGCTTTATGTAATTTTATAATATGTATAAATTGTTTACGTTTTGACATTTACCTTTTGAATATTAAATAAACTAATAATAAAATTTAATTATCAATGCATTGATTATGTCATAATCTTTTATCCGAGTAAATAATTTTCAAAAATAAGAGATCTTTCTATTGAATTTAATGAGTAGAATAACATCTCTGAAGTAAAAGAATTAATTCAAGAATATGATATTATTTGAAACTAAGTTTTAATTTAATGATTTTTAAAAGTCGTCTTACCGATATATCTTTTAGAGAAAAAAAAAGATGAATTTCTCTTCTGAATCTATAAACTATGACTTACTTGATTCGAACACTAACAGAACGTCTAAATACTTCAGTTTTACTTTTAACTGAATGTTATCCGTAAAAATAGCAATGACGTCTGTTCCAGATTGACAAACAACAAGTAAAACACGTCCACCACTATCATTTTCTTTAATTATTTTTGAAATTAAATCTGTTGCACAACAAACTTTAATTGGAATAATCATTTCTTAACGTACAGGACATGTTAGAAAACTGTGTTATTGAGACTAAGAGTGTAAATATATCTTGAAAAAAGGAAATTCAAAGAAGAAAATAATTATATTTCAACAGAATTTCCATTAATATTCATATTATTAAATACAGCATCTTCAGCGACACTAGTATCATGATATTAAAAAATAGCTTGATGACACGTTTATTAATAAAGTATATTATTAGTACAGATATCTTTCAAGCAAAATATTTAATCAATTGTGAAATTATAACTTATTTCTTTGTGTTTGTATTAGTTGTTGGCGCTGTTTGCTGTTGTGGAATATTGGGTGGTGAAGATTGTAGCATTTTTGTAGCTAATGTAGCTCCAACAAGAACAGCACCGCCAAGTACTACTACACGCACGGCTGTTCTACCTAAGAATCGAAGCATGATTTAATCAATAAAAAATATTGTTTAAACAATTGTTGAAGACGTAGGTTTATATGAAGTCCTGAAAAAAAGGCACAATTAAAATAATAAACAAAGTATGTTATTAAATATTATTTTAATCAAAACAATTTTCTTCTCTATAATAATTTCTTGTAAAAACAATTTTGTGTTTTCTATCTCTTGTCAATAAATGGTTGTAATCAATTCTTTTGTTTATATATTGTCTCAATAATTTCATCCTCAATAGCTTCGAGCATCTATACATTCAGACATATGTATCATATACACATTTTCTTCTTCTTTCTATTCTTAATCATACTTGATACATAGATTAGTTTTTTTGTTGCATGCATGCATTTTTAAGTTCGATTACTACGCTTGATTGCATACGCTTTTACTAGGTGAGCAAAGACAGAAAAGAACAGTAACACCTGGTATATTCATCCAACCGAATATATTTATCTTATGTATACACGTTTATATATATATTTGTCAAAAGAGCAGAACAAAAAAAAGAAAAGCGAAATAATGATACAAAAGTTAGTCGATGTCGCTACCACTGCATCCATTTTTTGCTGATGTCGTTGCAATAAACATCGGATAATTTTTTTCATAATTTTTAAGCATTTCATTTAAAAATGTTTGAAAAACATCTACAGCAGTTGTTATTGCCGGTGCACCAAAACCATGTGTTATAAGAGAAAATCTTGATAATGAATGTTGAACAGATGGATCAAGTGTAGGCGGAATTGTAGATAAACGATGATGAGATATAAGTGATGAACTAGATGTATGTCGAGAATTTGTTGAACTAGTATTATTACTTGTTGATGATGCAACATTAACAGGTGATCGATCTTGTTTAAGTAAATCACTAAATTCTTGAACTAATTGTCTAAAATAAAAGCGAAATATATATATACATAAACTTCAAAATTAATAGAAATATTTACTTAGCAGCTAATATCATATTTCTTCGTGTACTTATTTCGTTTGGATCTGAATAATGTCGTGCTACATAATCCGCAGTAATTTCAACAGGAAATTCAGCTTCACATACTGTACGAAAATCCATCGCTAATTGATTTGCTTCTCCTGAAATACAAAAAAAAATAAATCAAAAAAAAATTTTGTAAATTTTTTACCTTCAACAAGCGAAGTTAATAATGTGGTTGTGGATGTTTTGCGTCGACCTGCTTGAAGATTAACTCCAATTTTTTCTAGTTTATTACGTAAATCTCGACCACCATTCTTCGATTTAGCTCTAAAAGATAATAAATTCAATAATTATGCTTATATCGTAATAGATGTTTACCGTCTTAAAACACCGCCAAGTAAGGATGCATTAAGATTTTCTGGTGGACCAAGACGTCGTTGAATTTCACCAATTGTTACTCGATATTTTGATGATGAACTTAATAATGCTAATCGTCCCGGTACTGAAAAAAAACAAAAAATCTACTATAGAATAATAATAAAAAAATAAAACAATTTTACCTTGACAAAAGAAATCCGTTGGTGAAAGTGATCCATTACCATTTCCTGAACACATGGAAGAAAATGAACTTGAATCTCTAGATGGATCAGATCGTCGACTATCTATTCAAAACAAAATAAAATAATTAATTCAACAAAAAAAAGAAAATATTTTCATTGATTATGTACCTCTACTTGTTGGTGATCTATGATAAGGTGATTCACTTGTTTGTAAGTCATTTCCGCTATTAAGAATCTGAAAAAAATTAATTAAATGTTTGTTTCGGATGAATACACTACATCAAAAAAAAGAGTTGAACTTACTCGAGATGTATGGTCAACGAGTGAATTAGTTGATGTCTGATGATGTTGTGAATGACGAGAATAAAGTTCTGCTGCTGCTGCTTGTTGATGATGAACATCAAGAATTGTATGATGATGACGTGCATAAGCAGTTGCATATGGATCATAAGATGATGTATTAAATGTATTACTATTTGGATTTGAATGTTGATGATGAATATTTGTCGATGTTCCATATGATGATGATGAAGAACTATTTACTGCTGCATAATTAAATGTTGGATAATGTTCAATACCATTTGTTCCTGAATGTACATCGAATTGAGCAGCAAATGCTGGATTAAATGGTGGTGGAAAATAGGGAAATGATGGATCAGTAATTGTTCCAACACGTGAATTTGTTGAATTACTAAATGGTCCACCACCAACGGAAGATGGTGAAGATGATGATGTTGGTGATGATGCATATTTTGTATCCTATAATAAATTCATTAATATAATTAATAAGAAGAATAAAAAAAACTAGCTAGTTAATATAATGAACTGTTTTGTTAAAGAATATATGAGACATGTTTATATTTTCATAATACATAAATGAATGAAAATAAAATTGTCTTTCTTTAATTTACTCGACCCTAAAGGCTATTTGATAATAAAAAAACAAACTTACATCGATCTGTATACCACTCCCACTGCCTGAATCAATTAGATCAAATGCGGATGGCATATGATGATGATGTTGTTGAATTTTTTTTTTTCTTCTTCTTCTTCGTTCTCAAAATCCTGCGGCAGTTCGACAGATGACAATAATAAATACCCGAAGCAAAAATATGTCCAGATGATGGAATTATATGACACACAACGATTCGTTGTTTTTATATTTTATAGCTAACGGCCAGAACTTATATATTAGAAAAGAAAAAAGTCAACCTGTATTGATAGGAAAGACAAAATAAATAAATAGAGAGATATATATTATATTAGATAGAAATAGACACATACAAATTCCATATATGTATAGTGAGCTAAGTGTACTTCTTCTTCTTCTTCTTTTTTTTCTCTATATGTGTGTGCTCGTTCTATGTTTTCGACCAATCATGCCCTCCGGCACAATATTAACTCTTTCAAGCCAATCGGGAAAAATTTTTCTGTTTGTTCGGTTATCAATGATTGGATGAACGATTTTTCTTCTTTTTCTTTTCTCTTGCATCTAATCTAATCCTAGTGAATAAGGGAAGAAAAAACTAGCTATTACTAATAAACTCATCTCATCATCGAGCAACGTTAATGTGGTGGGTGAGAGTGTTACAGACTTTGTCGTTCTCTTTAAACGATCTACTATTACTCTCATCATCCATCATCAATTCCGGTTATTAGTAGTAACAAACCAAAAAAAAAGAAAGAAAGAAAAGAAGCAGCTCACAACTAAACTAATATCCGGGTTAACGGTCAGCATCCGCAAACAAGTAGAAAATATAGTACTACCGGAAAATGTGAAATAGAGGAATCATTTAAGTGATAACAACATTCATATTTATTTCTATATACAAAATACTTTTTAATTCACGAAAAATCAAACACTATTATGATGTAATATATTGATATTTGATTGTGCTTAACGAAGCTTGACATAATGTCACGCACGATGACATCTTCACTATGTTTTTCTTTTTCTTTTAATACTATAACACATTAGGAAAAATGATTTTCACGCCTAACCAACAACACCATCTTCTTCTTTAGATAGATAGTTTTATTACTGACAATGAAAGAAATAGATATTCGTCTATGTAGTTTATCGACTTTCTATCAAAATACCCTCTAGCATCATATAATTCAAAGAAAGTGTGGAAGATTATTATCTATTTTATTATAAAAAAGTGCGATGTTTCCAATTGACAACTTTATTTTAATGTGTACAATCTCTTGACATATTTTAATAATTATGATTATTATTATTATTTTTTTCATAATGAGTCAATATTTGAAAAAGAATAAACTTACTTGATGATATGGTAGAAGAACCATTTTCTTTTTGTGTTATTGCTTGTATATGTGATATAGCTTTAAGTTATGTTTAGAAATATAAATGTATGTTTTTCTTCTTCTTCTTCTTCTTTTTCTTTCCTTTTTCGTATCAATATATTCATTGGTCAAGATATTTAATGATTCTTTCTCCTATTGGAGATATTAACATTGTTTACAGTTCATTATCATCTAAAACACTGATGAGTTGAACAAATTCTTGCAACAATACAGCTGTTACTCATGTTTGAAATTCATTCTGGGAAAAGATTATCAATCATTGCCTCCCTCCCGATCAATAAGCGCCCCTTTCACTTGTCGAGTAGCTCATTGAAACTAGCTGCTACTGGTGTATATTATATGCCGACTTTATTTGTCGACAATAAGTGACTCTCTAGTTTTTTGATAATGCAATCTCACAATTGATATTGAAGAAAAAAAAAAGAAGAGGGAAAGATCGAACCACTTAATGGCGACAATAAGTTTGAAACAAAAAAAGAACCTCGAGATTTGATGATTGATTGAAAAATAAAAATAATAATGTGTGAAATATAATCATCGATAGCTCTCTATTCAAGACAAAACACCTTTCATAGCTCGTGTCTGAGAGAGAATAAATAATATTTTAAAATAACAATTAATACTAAATGATTATTTTTTGTTCTAATCACACATATACACATTGGGATTCAATATGTACGTACTCCACCTTTTAGCTATTGGCGTCAACTGAAGAAAAAACACAAAAAAATACCGATGACATATTTTGCCAATT